AAACGGAAGAAAATGATTTTTCCCCATTTAATGGTTTGCATTCTGCAGATTTAACCGCAATTTTGCAATTTACGATTGCCGATCTGCCCGAAATACTATGCATGTATGTATTTTTTGTAGTAGTCTATTAGGAGGAGGTAGAGTTATCAATGTGTTTGTTAAGCGCCTCTCGGTAAACAATTAGAAATAAATCATCGGCTGTTTACCAAACAGTCTCATTTGGGATCAACCAGACGAAAATCCATGTTACTTAAATTTACGACCGTAAAAATGTACCGAAACCCATTACACGATACCAGATATTATCAACAAGTTTTCCGACATACGTGAATAATAAGCGGAACAATTTGGCGAAAATCCAAAGCTAATAACCGTCAAAATGCGAAATGGCTTGTGTGTTCTAGGTGAATAAACCTGAGCGTCTAATAGTGCAATAGCAGATGAATAATATTTGTACATAAACTGTCACATTCAAAGCCAAGGACTCTTTGCATGTCCAAACAGGTTATTAGTTAAATAAATGAAGATTTGTAGCCTGGAAAGTGTGAAAAGTCTTTTGATGGTTAAAGGGGAAATGTGTAGATTAGAGTAGCGTTCAAAGTTAATTAAGGAAAAAAACATGCAAATCTATTAAAGAAGGTGTAAAGAAAGCAGTAGGTAAATGTGCTTGTTCTGGGGTAAAAATGTGGAAAGTTGCCAAGTTTCAACTAGAACACCAAACTAGTCGGGATTTATGAATAATTAACTTCGTTACCAAACCACTGAAATATTTCTTTGGCCTTATGAGTGCAACATTTGCTGTGGCTTTTCTGCTTGGTAAGATTTACTTAATTTTTTCATCACATCTGCATCTCAAAAACTATTCTGTGATCAACCCCAGTTTTGATCATCATCAAATCAACGCAAATCAGCATGCAAAAAAAGAGAAATTAGTACTGTACAAGCTGGCTTCAGAATGGAATAAAACCCTTTTATTTTGTAAAACCTGAAACCTACTGATGTTTTCGACATTAAGAGTTCTTGAGAAATTTCGAAAAAAGCAGCGTCATGTTCAAGTGGATTTTGCAACTCAAAAAAAACACGCAAATCTAAAACTTCTTGAATTCAAAGAAAACTGCCAACATTTTCCCATCCATGGTTCGCTTTCTAAAAAGGTCATTTATTTCTGTCTAGAATGATGTACAAATGAGCGTTCTTGCTCATTTTGCCTCCGAGAAATGAGCAAAAAGGGGACAGAAAACATGAAATTTTGGCCTAATCTTGAACCTAAGTGTTTGATGTTCATATTTCGCTTTCTGAGTCAAAACTACTCAAATTTCCTAACTCACGTTGTTACGACTTAGTTGACTTTTCCATTCTCTATCCAACGATGCCAAAACGAATTCTGTGGCTCGAATGGTTCTTGAGAAACTTCGAAAAAAGCAGCGTCATGTTCAAGTGGATTTTGCAACTAAAAAAAAAACCACGCAAATCTAAAACGTCTTGAATTCAAGTATTTTTTTGAGAAAACTGCCAACATTTCGCCATCCATGGTTCGCTTTCTAAAAAGGTAATTTATTTCTGTCTAGAATGATGTACAAATGAGCGTTCTTGCTCATTATGCCTCCGAGAAATGAGCAAAAAGGGGACGGAAAACATGAAATTTTGGCCTAATCTTGAACCTAAGTGTTTGATGTTCATATTTCGCTTTCTGAGTCAAAACTACTCGAATTTCCTCACTCACGTTGTTACGACTGAATCGACTTTTCAATTCTCTATCCAACGATGCCAAAACGAATTCTGTG